GGAATCTTATAGCCTTCAAAAGTGAAGGGGAAAAAAAGACTTTCTCAGACATATTGAAAATTGAGGGAATTTGTGATCACTAGGCCTGCCTTGCAAGAAATATTAAAGGAAATTCTTAGGCTAGAAACTCAGATCTACATAAAAAGAAGAGCATCAAAGAAGGAATAAGATAAGTGAATTTTTCTTATTTTTAATTGATCTAGTAGACAACAATTTGTTCAAAATAATAATAGCAACAATTTGAGGATTATAGTTAACATATGAGTAAAATGACACCAATGATACAAGGGACAGAGGGAGAAATTAGAAACATTTTGTTATTACTACAATACCTGTGAATTGTATAGCATTAATTGAAAGTGGACCTGAAGTATAGAAACAGAGAATAGAAAGCTGGTCACCGGGGCTAAGAATGGGGGAAATGGAAAGATGTTGGTCAAACGGTACCAATTTCCAGTTGATGAATAAGTTCTGGGACCTAATGTACAGCATGGTGACTACAGGTTATAATGTACTATGTACATGAAATTTGCTGAGAGAGTAGTTCTTAAGTATTCTCATCACACACAAACACACACACACACAGATAACCATGTGACATAATGGATATGTTAGCTGGACTGTGGCAGTCATTTCACAATACATACCTATATCAAAACATCACACTGTACACCTTGAATATATCAACAATTTTTTTGTCAATTATACTCAATAAAGCAGAAGAACCAGAAGAGAAAGAAAGTAGACTTGAATATGTTATAAATGTATGTTACTAACTCTAGGGCAGTCACTTTTAAAAAGAAAAAAAAAATGGAATCATATAAAGTGTTCAATTAAAATCACAAATGGCAAAAAAATTGTGGAAGACAAAAACAAAAACAAGGCCCGGTGTGATGGTTTACACCTGTAATCCCAGCAATTTGGCAGGCCGAAACAGGAGGACCCCTTGAGCCCAGGAGTTCAAGGCTACAGTGAGCCACGAGTGTGCCATTGCACTCCAGCCTGGGTGACAGAGCAAGACCCTGTCTCAGAAAAGAAAAAAAAAAAAAAAATCCAAGAGAAATAAATAGAAAACAATAACAAATATAGTAGATGTTAATCCAACTTGTTAGTAATCATTTTAAATTTTAATGGCTTAAATATACCAGTTAAAAGAGATTTTAAGTCGGAGGGGATCAAAAAATAAGACCCAACTATATGTTGTCTATGAGACATAAACCAGTTGGCCATTTGTATGTCTTTAAATATAAAGACAACTATAAATTAAAAGGATTGAGAAAATATACCATGCTAACACTAATCAAAAGAAAGCTGGAATAGCTATATTAATTTCAGACAGAACAGACAGCAAGCACGTAAAATTACTAGGGATAAAGAGGATCTTCACAGAATGATAAAAGGGGTCAATTCTCCAAGAATACACAACGAATCCTTAAAGTGTATGTGGCTAATAACAGAGCATCAAAATATGCGAGGCAAAAGCTAATACAACATCAATAAGAAATAGATGAATCCACTATTACAGTTAGAGACTTCAATATCCCTGTCAGAAACAGACAGAGCCCGGGCACGGTGGCTCACGCCTGTATTCCCAGCACTTTGGGAAGCCAAGGTGGACAGATTACCCAAGGTCAGGAGTTTGAGACCAGCCTGGCCAACATGGTGAAACCCATCTCCACTAAAAATACAAAAATTACCCAGGCATGGTGGCAGGCACCTGCAATCCCAGCTACTGGGGAGGCTGAGGCAGGAGAATTGCTTGAACCAGGGAGGTGGAGCTTGCAGTGCACCAAGATCACACCATTGCATCCAGCCTGGGTGAGAGAGCAAGACTCCATCTTAAAAAAAAAAAAAAGAAAAAAAGAAATAGACCCCACAGGCAGAAAATCAGCATGACACAGCTGAACTCCACAATACCATCAATCAACTGGATATAATTGACATCTATAGACTACTTCATCCAATTACAGAATACACATTCTTCTTAAGCTTATATGGAGCATACATCAAACAGACCACATTCTAGGCCACAAAATACACCTTAACAAGTTTAAAAGAATAGAAATTATATATCATGCATGCACTCAGACCACAGTGGAGTTAAACTAGAAATAAAAAACAAAAATGGAACTACAAAATCCCCAAATACTTGAAGATTAAACAAGACACTTCTAAATAACACATGGGTAAAAGAAGACATTTCAAGAGATATGAAAAAAATATTCTGAACTAAATGAGTATGCAACTTATCAAAACTTGCGGGAACACCAAAAGCAGTGAGATTAGAGGGAAATTTATAGTATTGCATGGATATATTAGAAAACAAAAATCTAGGCCAGGAGCAGTGGCTCACACTTGTAATCCCAGCACTCTGGGGGGCCACAGCAGGCAGATTGCTTGAGTCCAGTTCAAGATCAGCTTGGGCAACATGGGGGAGACCCTGTCTCCATTAAAAATACAAAAAATTAGCCAGGTGTGGTAGTGCATGCCTGTAGTTCCAGCTACTCGGGAGGCTGAGGAGGGAGAATCACCTGAGCTCGAAAGGTCAAGGCTGCAGTGAGCTGAGATCATGCCACTGCACTCCAGCCTGGGGGCAACTGGTGTGAGACCCTGTCTCAAAAAAAAAAAAAAAAAAGAAGAAGAAAAAATCTAAAATAATTAATAGTCTAAGCTTCTACTTAGAAAACTGGAAATAGAGCAAATTAAACACAAAGCAAGCAGAAGGAAATAAATAATAAAAATCAGAACAGAAATCAATGAAAGTAAAAACAAGAAATCAATAATCAGTTTTCAGCTGATTCTTTGAAAAGATTAGCAAAATTTATAAGCCTCTATTTAGGCTAAGAAAAAGAGAGACACAAAAATTAAAAAAAGGAAGTAAGAGAGACAATATAAATTACCAGATATATAAAAAGGGCTATCACTACAGTCCCATGAGCATAGTAAAGGAATACTATGAACAAGTCTATGCCCACAAATTTGATAACCTAGATAAAATGGACCAATTTTTGAAAATCACAATCCACCAAAACTCACAAAAGAAGTAAGGCCACTTGAATAGGCTTCTATCTACTAAGGAAATTGAATCAATAATTAGCAACCTTCCAAAACAGAAACCACCAGGCTCAGATGGGTTCATTGGTGAATTCTACCAAACATTTAAGGAAGAAACAGGCCTGGCATGCTGGCTCAAACCCATAATCCCAGCCCTTTGGAAGGTGGGAGGATTGCTTGAGGCCAGAAGTTTGAGACCAACCTGAGCAACATAACAAGACACTATCTCTACAAAAAATTTAAAAATTAGCTGGGTGTGGTGGTGCACAACTATAGTCCCAGCTATTTGGGAGGCTGAGGTGGGAGGATTGCTTCAGCCTAGGAGTTTGAGGCTGCAGTGAGCTATGATCACGCCACTGTACTCCAGCCTGGGTGATAGAGCAAAATCTCATCTCAAAAAAAGAGGGATGGGGGAGGGAGAATATATTGTCTATAGAGAAGGGTCAATTAGATATATCAACAATTTCCAATATGCAAACTATAAAGTGTAATTTGAAGAAAACTGTACACAATTTTATTTAAAAAAATTAAATGACTATACTGAAAAAAATAAAATTTTCAGGAAAATGCAATAAGGTGTTACAAACAGACATGGCTAAGGCACTGATTGAAGTATATAAATAACAATAATTATTATTTTTTGAGACGGTTTCTTGCTCTGTTGCCTGGGCTGGAATGCAGTGGCGCGATCTTGGCTCACTGCAACCTCCACCTCCCAGGTTCAAGCAATTATCCTGCCTCAGCCTCCCGAGTAGCTGCGATTACAGGCACCCACCACCATGCCCGGCTAATTTGTTCTATTTTTAGTAGAGTTGGGGTTTCCCTATATGGGCCAGACTGGGCTCGAACTCCTGACCTCAGGTGATCCACCCACCTCGGCTTCCCAAAGTGCTGGGATTACCCCACCCCGGCTTCCCAAAGTGCTGGGATTACAGGTGTGAGCCACCATGCCCGGCCTATTGTTTTTAATGTTCAAATAATCCATATCAAGCTTTTAAAATTATGTAAACATTCTGGATAATTATTTATCTTTAAAAATTTTTATTAGTGAAGTTTCTTAATTTTAAAAAGCCCACTGATAAATTAAACTTGTTATTCAATAAATGATTTTTGTTTTTGAGAAAGGGTTTCACCCTGTCACCCAGGCTGGAGTGGCACAATCACAGCTCACTGCAGCCTTGACCTCCCAGGCTCAAGTGATCCTCCCACCTCAGCCTCCTGAGTAGCTGAGACTACAGGTGCATACCACCATGCCCAGCTAATTTTTCTATTTTTTGTAGAGGCAAGGTTTAGCCATATTGCCCAAGCTGGTCTTCAACTCCTAAGCTCAGGGAATCCACTTGCCATGGCCTTCCAAAGTGCTGAGATTACAGGAGTGAGCCACCAATCCCAGCCAATGAATTAATTTTTTAAAAAGTGTCATTGAAAAGTTTTTTTTTCTGTCTCTCTACTCTGCCAACCAGAATCAACATTATCCTAAGGTTTTTGTGTTTTTGTTTGTCCCATAGTTGTTGGATAGTTGCTGGTAGCAACCAAATTACCTGTTTTCCTTCTTCAACTCTGGTGGGAGAGAGGCTGACTTATAGTTCTCATCTAGATGTGGGAAAGAACATTTCCAGATGTCTCTAGAAAACCTTTCTTCATGCTTTTAGTCTACATATGAATTATATAACCATATGTAGTTATGAACCACATCATTAAACCCATCACCGGCAAGGGTGATGTAATTTCAGTCTAACCCTGGGGCTCTGAGAATTTTACCTGTGTGGGAGATGATAAGGATGGGAATCTAACCAAGTCAGAATTCTATTAAAGAAGAAATGATGGATGGGTGCTAACACTAGCATCTACCAAACATACTGTTTTGCATTTCTTGTGATCACATTTCATTCTTCTTATGAAAGCAAAATTTTATTATTGATTTATGGATTAAAGCAATAAATAAATTTTATAAAAAATGATTGTTTTATTTCCAAAGTTCATTCAGCTCAGGATGTATTTTACTTCTCTTGAGGCTACTTCTTTGACAACTTACAGGTTTGGTGAGATTTTTCTGTTGTTACTGATTTCTAGTTTGATTCATTTATGGTCACATATTTTATGTTTCAATTATTTTAAATGTGTTAGTTTCATAACCCAAGATATGGTCTATCTTGGTGAATGTCCCATAAATGCTCAAAAAATGTGTATTACATATTGGCTGATGGGACTGTTCAGTTCTCCCACGTACTTGCTTTTTGTCTAGTGGGTTTATCCATTACTAAACAAGGGGTGTTGAAGTCCCCAACTGTAAACTGTAAATTGGTCTATATTTTCCTTTTAGTTCTATCAATTCTTAGATCGTATACTTTGCAGCTGTGTTATTTGGTTAATGCACACCTGCGGTCTTTTTGTGATCGGACCTCTTCATCATTATGTAATGTACTTCTTTGTCCCTGGCAATTTTCTTTTGTCCTAAAGTTTACCTTGTCTGATAGTAATTCATCCACTCCAGCTTTCTCTGAATTAGCGTTTGCAAGGTGTATCTATTTCTATCCTTTTACTCTTAGTTTATTGATTTTTACTGATAAATCATTGCTAATTTACCGGTATTTTGAGTTTCTTGTATTTAGCATTTGGTTGGGTCAGGTTTTTAAATTCACTCTCACAATCTTGGTGTGTTTAGAGCATTTACATTGAACCTAATTACTGATAAGTGAGGTTATCGGTCTGTCATTTTATTGTTTTGCTTTTTTTCCTGTTTCCCCTTACCTGTCTTCAAGCGGGTTATTTGGGCATTCTTTAGTAGTCCACTTTAATTTATCTACATTTTTAAGTGTATCTCTTCATATAGTTTTTCAGTGGTTACAGACTGCAATACACACATGCAGTTTATTGCAGTCTACTAGTATCAACATCTACCACTTGAAGTGGAATGTGGATATTTAACCACCATTTAAGTCCCTTTTACTGCCCCCACCCTGTGATGTAATTGTCTAAAATATTTCCTCTACATACACTAAGAACCACATCAATGTTGTAATTTTTACTTTAACTTTTCAATGACAAGTATAATTGGATATTATACTTGTCTTCCATAACAAGTTCAGTGTCTATATATCTTCTCATTTATGCAACATCCATTCATCCATGAACTTGTTAGCCATTTTTCCATCCACTATGCATTCAATGCATCCATCTGTGATCCTTGAAATTTATCTGAAACTTGTTTCTAACATACTTGAGTCTGACCATCCTCTGCGATCTATTCTCTTTCCCTTCCTTTTTAATTCATTCAGATGTTGTTTTGTAAGTGTTTACATTTATTTCAAGTAGTACTATCCCCAACTGAACCGTAAGCATCTTGGCAGTGGATTTCTATTCATTTTGTATATTTCCCCTAGGACCTGTGGTGGTGTTCTAGCATCTAAGTGATACCTAACTCTACAAATTACTACTGATTTAAAAAATAATTCAGCCACCTACGCACCCACTGGATGACGCACCAGGTTTTCCACAAAACTTCCTATACATCTAGCCCTAGCACCCAAGACACCTGGACCCTGAGGAACCTGTGACCATGAGTTGTTTTTGAAGAGCAAAAATTCTGAGATCAAAATTCCCTAATCTTAAACAGTTTGCTCTAAAAAAGTATTTCGAAACATTCTTAGAAAGTTTTGCCCCAAATATGAGCCACAAAATTGTCATATACTTTCATAACTCCTTTGTGTATCCATCCAACATCACACACATATCCTTGTACATAGCTAACACATTACATTCAATTACCCCATTGTAGAAAAGGAATAATCTATTTCTATATGACTTTAATAATGTTCCCTAAGTAATTAGTAATCAAGGTTTTCTTCAAATTCAAATTAACAAATGTTTGTTAATTAAATATACATATTTATGGATTTATATATGTATATAATCTTTCTGTAATTCAGTTTTTAACTGTGAACTTTTACATGTTGGAAGCAGTGAAGGACTCAATGTCATGCATTTTGATAGTATTTGATAGGCTTTTTCAGGTCAATTAATTTAGTTGCCTGCAAATATAAATCAAGCTTGCTCCAGTTCCACAAGAACTCCACCACAGTCTTTAGGATGGAGAAAAATCACTGGTTTTCCATGTGCTCCTATTTTGACCTCTTCACTTAGACTGCGGATCTTCTTTGTTTTCAAATCCATCACAGCTGCATTAATATTATCCACCTTAAGAAAAGGAAATACATTGAACACATTTGAGACCATAAAAATACCAACTTACAGTATCACAATATTCAAAAAAAACTGAGAGCTCAGGCAGTCTATCTCCTCTGCCTGTGGGCAGGACCATTCTTAAATCAACATTAAAAAAAAAGCTTAAAATTTCCAGAGAAGTAAAAGAAGTTACTAAATTTTTCTAGGTAAGCAACCACAATGCTTAGAATTTTCACCATTAGTAAATGTTTCTTCTTATAATCTGAATCATGTATGATATACTTTATAATAGTTTATTTTGGCAGTACTATTAGTGAGATTGAAGACACTGATTTTGCCTGAGAACCCTGGGTTCCTCATCTATAACACGCAAATGAGGTCTAGCATATAAATTGACTACATATTAAAACGAGGTAACAGATAAAAAGCTCTCAGTACAGTTTATGGCATAATAGGTACTTAGCAAATACAAGGGTTTCCCTGATCCCCAAAACTTGCCCTGCCAAAATACCTTTGACATTATCAAGATATACATGAAAATCACTAATAAATTGCCATTAAAATGCTATTCCCCATCTAAAAAAAATTTCAAACTTTAATGTTTTTGCAGCCTCTTCTAAGTTATTTCTATTTTCTTCATACTTATGGACACTCTAGGAGGAGCGGATGTGTCTCTCTATACTTGACGGAGAAATGATCTGCCTCTATCTTGGGAAGTCACCCATTTAGACTGGGAACCTAGGAAATGCATGAAAAGGTATGATATGAATGGCCACATTCCTAGGCAGTCATAAATCACTAGTTTAATTAAAATCACTAGTTTAATTTTAAAAAACACAGAAGCACAGAGACTAGTATAACACCCATGTACCTACCATTCAGATCTAATAAATATTAACATTTATACAATTTTATTTCCAAAGAGCCAAGGATTATATACTGAATTCTAAAACCAGTCGAACAGCTAATGAGGATACTAAATGTTACATAAATAAGCTATGATTTCTTCATATGGCACATATTCTACTTATATTTCTGATATTTCTTTTTGAAACCTCATAGGTATATCAAAGTCACACATGCCTAGATTCTGAACATGGCTCATTTCATGACATTTTGCACTGTAGCTGGTTAATTCTCATCTTTTTCAGAATAGAACATGACCTAGAAGTTCGTGGCAGGAGCAGCCCGACCCACTTAGTGAGGAAAATTGGTCCTCACTGATGTCAGACATTGTCAATTTTATTTTTAAATTCATATCAATATTATTAAGCTTTTTTTTCTGCTGTGTTAGGTGGGATTGGAGCAGTTTTTAGTCTAGGACTAATTTTCCTCACTACCAAGCCAAAGTCCTTCTGAGTACTCTTCCCAATGTTACGGAAATTACTATGACTTGTAAGAAAAAACTATCCCCACCTCTGTGTGTGGATTATTCCCTCCAATGCTTTCAAGGGGTTCTATTTCTAGCTTTCTAACATGCGTGCAATACTCAGATGAAGACATGAAAGGTACTACAGATCTTTGGAGTTCACTCTCTGTGCAGCTCTCCTGCAGCTCTCCACGAGAGAGCTGTGAACTCTAGCACCATGGCCTCCTCAGACTTCCAACTCCTATCTCAACTCAGGGAGACCACTAAGTTCTGTGTGGATTCCCCCTTCCTGTACTGCAGTCTGGAAACTCTCTATAGCCAGTAAACTGGGTAACTGTAGGACTCATCTTGTTTGTTTACCCTCTCTCAGAAATCAACTCCTGTGCTGCCTGATGTCCAATGCCAGAAATCCATTATTTCATGTATTCTGTCTACGTTGCTTGTTTGTTTCAGGGAGGAGGATAAACTGATCTCTTTTACACCAACTTGGCCAGAATCAGAATTCTAAATTGGCAGGTTTTTTCTGTCAGCAAGTAAAAAGTGTCATTACATGTCATTCTATACTATGTCTTTTTTACTTTGATTACTTTTAAGATTTTCTCGTCATCTATGATTTTCAGTTTGACTATGGTGTGCTTAGGTGTGGCTTTCTTTTTCTTTTGAGACAGAGTCTCACTCTGTCAGCCAGGCTGGAGTGTAGTAGTGTGATCTCAGCTTACTGCAACCTCTGCCTCCAGGGTTCAAGCAATTCTCCTGCCTCAACCTCCAGAGTAGCTGGGACTACAGGCGCACGCCACCATGCCCAGCTAATTTTTGTATTTTTAGTAGAGACCAGTTTCTACTGGTTGGCCAGGATGGTCTCCATCTCTTGACCTCGTGATCTGCCTGCCTCGGCCTCCCAGCGTGAGTCACTGCACCTGGCCTTTTTTTTTTTTTTTTTTTTTTGAGACAGTCTCACTCTGTTACCTAGGCTGGAGTGCAATGGCACAATCTTGGCTTACTGCAGCCTCCGCCTCCTGGGTTCAAGTGATTCTCCTGCCTCAGCCCCCTGAGTAGCTAGGATTATAGGCATGAGCCACCATGCCTGGCTAATTTTTGTATTTTTAGTAGAGACTGGGTTTCACCATGTTGGCCAGGTCGGTCTTGAACTCCAGACCTCAAGTGATCTGCCTGACTTGGCTTCCCACAGTGCTGGGATTACAGGCGTGAATCACTGTTGCCCGGTCTGGTGTGGTTTTCTGTTTGCCCTACTTGGGGTTGCTGACTTTCTTGAAACCATAGGTTGTTTTACACCAGATTAGTAGTGTCCTTGTCAACTATTTTTTCAATTATTGCTTCTGTTCTATTTTCTCTCTCTTTCTTTTCTGGGACTTCAACTATACTCTGCTAGAACTTTTGACCATGTCCTACATCTGTTTTATGCTCTATTTTGTTTTCTTTCTCTTCCATATTTTTTACCTCTTGATTTTGGAATTCTAGTTTCTAGAACTGTGAAAAGAGTAATTTCTGTTTTAAGCCACTAAGTTCGTGATCATTTATTATAGCAGCCCTAGAAGATGAATACAACTACCACACATCATACCGAAATTGGACAATGAAGTAGATGGATAGCTGATAGTGGGAGCTAAGTTTCTCACTGTTGGAATGAGAAGATAAAGGCCAGTGTGGTCTATGTGGTAATGGATTAGAGCTGGAGACATCAGTATACACTCAGGAGTTTATGACATTTCATGAATTCTATAATATAGTTATATATAGAAATGTGTATAGATATGTGTATATTACACAGTATACACACCTATATCTCCTTGCCGTGCTGGCTCAGTACAATGATCCCCCTAGTAGCAATAAGCACAAACCTAGATCTTGGCTTCTAATACCATTCTCCAATAGTAGGAACCAGGGCTCCTAGATAAAATGGCTAATTACATGGCTAGGGCAAAGAGTAAAGACGAATTTGGAGCATCTTATATAGAAGATGAATTTGGAGCATCTTAGAGTGCCAGAAAAAGAAAGGAAGTGCTTAAAAAACAAACACAAAACCAAAAATGATGGGGGTATGTCAAAGGGACACATGAATCAACTGAAAGAGCTCCTAATGGCCAAAGCTGGAACAATCTGAGGGAAAAAAAAAAGTAGTATTAGATTGTAATGCAAGTCATAAAATAAATATCCACAAGTCCATACTGATATAACTCTCCATTCCTTAAGTGTGGGCCTTGCATAATGACTTCCTTCCAAAAGAGGATAATATGGAGAAGGGGGAAAAAAGAACAGCTTTCCAGTGGAGAGAGCTGACAACACCTCCTCACCTGGGAGATCAAGATTAATATCAACAGGAGTAAGTCATGTTGATAGCATGAATCCTTGATATGATGTGATGAGAATGGCACTTTACCTCTATGGTCTTTCTCCCCAAAATCAGTAACATGAGTCTCTTAAGAAAAATATCACACAAATCTCAACTAAAGGACAGTTTACAAAATAACTGACCAGTAATCTTCAAAAGTGTCAAGGTCATCAGAAACAAGGAAAGGAGATCCTAGAAAAAGGTTAGAAAACAAAACAAAACAAAAAACCAAGGAAAGTTTGAGAAACTGCCACATGCGAGAGAAGCCTCAGCAGATATGATGACTAAATGTGATGTGCTAGGGATGGAGGAGTAGGGGAAGGGAGAGCATCAGGATACATAGCAAATGCATACAAGGCTTAATATCTAGGTAATGCATTGGCAGGTGCAGCAAACCACCATGGCATACGTTTACCTATGTAACAAACCAGGATGTCCTACACATGTATCCTGGAACTTAAAATAAAATTAAAAAAATAAAAATAAATGTGATGAGAAATCCTAGATGGGATCCTGGAATAGAAAAGGGACACTGGGTAAGAACTAAAGGAATAAGAATAAAGTACAGACTTTAGCTAATAACAATGAATCGGTATTGGTTCACTAATTGTGGTAAATGTATCAAACTATAATAAGATGTTCATAATTTTTTTTAAAGAGTCTGAAGAGATTAACAACCATTTATAATGACTGGATCTTGTTTTTATCCTGATTAGAACAAATCAACTATAAAAAAAATTTGTAAATCAATCTGGGAAATTTAATTTATGAGCTGTGTATAGATGGTTCCAAAAGATTTACCTTTAATTTTGACTGAAGTGCCAGAAAATAAAGATGATAATGTCACCGTGGTTATTTTTGTATTTCTTAGAGATTCAAACTGAATAAGGGTAAAATGACATGCTGTTCATTTAAAATAATCTAAGGAAAAGAAAAAAGATGATGTGTAGCAAGAGCTTGAACACTGTTGAACCTGGGTGATGAGAGTACTGATATGATTTTTTTTCTGCTTCTCATAAGTTTGAACGATTTCATAAGAGAACTCCTAATGCTTTGTTTGGCACAGTAAACCTGCACGTTCTGCACATATATCCCAGAACTTAAAGTATTAAGGGTGCTGGGACCCTGGGCCGGGCGCGATGGCTCACACCTGTAATCCCAGCACTTTGGGAGGCCCAAACACCCTGCTTTAGGCCAGTCTGGTTCTCCCTATCAACATAAATGACTCTTCTGCTCTGTCCTACCTGAAGTCTTCAGGAAGGGAAGGAATGGGGAGGAGTCATAGATACTATG